CCCCCGGGCCCCCCCGCCCCCGGGGGCTGCCGGCAGCCTGCCAGCCCTCCATCTGCTGCCTGCTCTTCCAGAACCAGCACAGGGCTGCCCTCTGCCCCCAGAGGGGCCAAGTTGGGGACAGAGGGCTACCCCACAAGGGCTCAGTGTGGCTCTTGGCACCCTGGCTGTCCCTGAGACCCCCGGCAGGGCAGGGTCCTGCTGCTGACAGGTCCCATGGCCCTCCTGAGAGGCTGGGCTCGGGACGGGTGTGCTTCTGCAGCCTCACCTTCTGCAGCATCACGTAGCCACGGTCGCAGACGGTGTGGGGAGGAGCACCCAGCGTGGCTGGGTCCAGGACATCCCGGGGCAGCTGTGTGCGGTACACCACGAAGCCATGGGCCTGCAGGACACAGCAGAGCGGCACAGAAAGGGAAATGTGTCTGGAGACAAACCCTGCTGCTCCACCCCGGAGCCAGGACAGTGCAAACAAGCCTAGAAACATCTCCCTCAGGGTCCCCCACGGTGCCCAGCGCCTCACCTGCTTTATGGCCTCAAAGGTTAGGGGGAACTGGCTCTGGATGGGCCCGGAGGGGCACAGCACATCCAAGATGTCCAGGAGGTTGGCATACTGCAAGGACAGGGATGGGCACTAGGCAGCCGGGCAGTGCCAGGCAGGGCAGCACAGCCCTCGGGGCAGGCACTCACCTTCCGCAGGGCCACCCGGCCATAGGCATACTTGGGAGTGGCAGGTGGCATCGGACCGATTGGCAGGGGCTGGAACTGAACAGCAAACTGTCAGCTGTGCCCCAGGGTGAGCAGGGAGATGTCCCCTGCCCTGCCAGGTCCCTCTGTGTCCCCGCTTCCCTGGCACAGGCAGTGGTGTCCCCCTCCTCCTGCCAGGCTCAGCACCTTGCTGATGACTGTGCGGATGGCAAACAGCTTCTCGGTGGGGTCTCCCGCCTCCGAGAGGGGGGCATCATAGTCATAACTGGTGGTCACTGGTTTGTACTGGTCCTTGAAGTCAGCACCTGTCCAGGGAAGTGATGGGAGCTGGAGGAAGGGGCTCTGGCAGAGTCCAGGGCATGGACCCCAGCCCCAGTCTGGCTGAAGGCAATAGGGGGGGCATGACCCAGAACTGAGGGCCCCTGCCTGGGGACAAAAGGAGTCCCCGGGGGGCCAAACTTGGGTTCAGGGGCCCTTGAGTATGTGTCAGCCTGCCACGTGGAACAGAACAGGAGCCTGAAGCAGGCTCCTCTGGGATTGCCAAGGAAAGCCCCCAGTCCCGCAGTGTGCCCCTCCTCCCCAGAGCAGGGCCCTTACTCACCACTCCAATAAGCAAAGTTCGTCCCCCCATGGAACATGTACCTACGGGACACCCCAGAGACCCCCATTAGCACCCCCACAGACCCAGTGGGGGCTCACCAGGTGCTGCCCACCTCCCTCCTGCACCTGCAGTCCCAGCCCTGCCTGCCTCCCCCCTGCCCAAGCCCTGTGGGATGAAGGCGAGCGGCAATGCCCACTGCAGTGCTGGCAGAGGGGAGGGCATTGCCCCCCCCCCCCAGCTGTGCCCCCTGCCAGCTGGCTACTTGCATGTTGACGCTGGCTCCCAGCTGCAGCATGTCCTCCAGCCCCCGGGCCACCTGCGCCGAGCTGGTGCTGGCATGTGCCTCTCCCCAGTAGTCCAGCCAGCCCGTGTAGTACTCCGAGTTCACCTGGGGGAGAAAGGGACTGTCACCTGCCTGGAGCTGGGGCTCCTGGCACCCCTCTGTGAGCCACATCCCCCCTGCTCACCAGCAGCCTGGCCCTGGCCCCCCTCTTTGCCTTGTCCCCCGCCAGCCCCTCTGCCTCCCCAAAGCCACCACAGGTGGTTCCCCCCCCACGGTGCCCATGCCAAGCTCACCAAGGGCCCCTTCGGCTCGACCCGGCGCTGGGCACCAAACGCCTC